TTACATTTTTATATGGAAAAGGTCAGAAAAAAAGTGTTATCAATTGAATTTGCCTTACATTGAGGTTATGAAAGTTTATTTTCTTCAATTACGTAAAGTTTACATTCGATTTTAGTATAGAATATTCGAACAGTTGACGTGATTAAAAAATATAATCAGAGGGAAAAGAATGGACTGTTACAGTTTCTGTTGTAACGCTTCTTTTATTATTGTACATTCCGCACGAAGTATCCGTATTACGGCAGTAAAACAGTCGTAAAACGAAACAATTAACTTTACCATTATTACTCCCATAATACACCGTGCAAAACGAAAGTTTCAACTGTTTCTTATTTTTTTTTTATATTTCATTATTTACACATTTTAATTGGGTCAAAGCTTAATCTTTCATATTTTCTTCGAAAAAAATAAGTTGACTCTTCTTTATGTTATTTCATTTAATACAAAATTAATAATTTAAGAAGTAGTGAAAGTGTAAGCATTTTTTTTTATTTTAATTGAAAGAAAAATGAAGCAGAAATTGAACTTTAAATATTTCTGTTTCTTTTGACAAATTTCATTTAGTTATATCTCAATTAATATATATCAAAAAACTAGTAATCGTAAACGATTGACGATGAGACAGCATTAGTAGCAATTCGGTCGCTAATCATGCATTCATAATATAGAAAGAGAAAGTCTCACGCTGCGTTTGATGTCCGAAAGTGAAGATCACGATAATTTCGAGAGAATCGGATTCGGATTTTTATAGCGGCAATTGATCATCTGCTCTATTGATAAATGTCAAAACATTGATCTTTCCATTTAGTTACGGAATCAACCGAGGCGTTAACATTGATTCAATTAAATAGAATGTAAATAATTGATAAATAAATCAAGTTTTTTTTTTCGACTTTAACCTTAAATTACAGAAAATCGGCAATAGTTACAAATATTGCAAATAGCAAGTTGAAAAGCCGAAACATTTAGCTTTAATTTGCGTGGTCATACTTAATTGTATCAAGTATAGTTAGTGAGAAAATTTAATTTAAATTGAATTAATATTTTTTCTACAATTTGTCATAAAAGAAGTGTTACTATTTTGATTTGCCTCCAATTTTCTTATATTGAGGTTATGTCAATTTTGTTTTCATATTTAGTTAAAACGAAATTAAACATTTTCACAGAAGAAATAAAAAGTTGTTAGTTAATTCAAATTATTACGAATTTACACTTTTTATAAAACTTGTCATAAAAGAACTGTTATTTTTTTATAAAAACTGTCATAAAACAAATGTTAACAATTTGATTTACCAAAGCTTCGAAAAAACAATTTTATTTAATTGGAAAGCGCAAACATTTAGCTTTAATTTATGTGCTCATTCATAATTATGTCAAGTGTAATTATAGATATAGTTTTTTTTGTTAAAGATCCAGTAAGTTTAAGTGTTTTCAAAGTTAACCTTAAATTACAGAAAACCAGCAAAAGTTACAAAGTTCCAAATTCGAAACATTTAGATTTAATTTGCGTGGTCATAGTTAATTGTTTCAAGTATAGTTAGTGAGAAAATTGACAATTTGACTCGATTTAAAAAAAAGAAGTTTTTTCAACTTTAACCTTTAATTACACATAATACGCAAACGTTACAAAGATTGCAATAGCCAAGTTCGAAAGCCGAAAAATTTAGCTCTAATTTGCGTGGTCATACTTAATTATGTCAAATATAGTTAATGAGAAAATTGACAATTTGACTCGATTTAAAAAAAGAAGTTTTTTCAACTTTAACCTTTAATTACATATAATCATATATTTCATATAGCAAGTTCGAAAGTCGAAACATTTAGCTTTAATTTGCGTGGTCATACTTAATTGTGTCAAGTATAGTTAATGAGAAAATTGACAATTTGACTCGATTTAAAAAAAAAAAGTTTTTTCAACTTTAACCTTTAATTACAGATAATCAGCAAATATTACAAAGATTGCAATAGCCAAGTTCTAAAGCCGAAACATTTAGCTTTAATTTGCTTGGTCATACTTAATTGTGTCAAGTATAGTTAATGAGAAAATTGACAATTTGACTCGATTTAAAAAAAAGTTTTATCAATTTTAACCTTTAATTACAGATAATCAGCAAACGTTACAAAGATTACAATAGCCTAGTTCGAAAGCCGAAACATTTAGCTTTAATTTGCGTGGTCATACTTAATTGTGTCAAGTATAGTTAGAGAGAAAATTGACGATTTGTGTCGATTAAAAAAAAAAAGAGTTTTGTCAAGTTTGACCGTAAATCGATATACACTAAATCTGTAAGAGTTAAGGCATTGGAAAGCCCAAATATTTGTCTTTAATTTGAGTAATCATTGATAATTGTGCTATATCCGAAGAAATTGATGATTTGTAGAGGAAAATTTTAAACTTGAATATACTTTTTCTTGTTAAATAATGTATAAAACTATAAAACTTTTGAAGTGCAAATATATGTAAAGATATATGGCTTAGATTAGGATTAACACTTAGATTCGATTAGAATTAACACATAGATCCGTATCTGTAACGATGCTATTCGAGTTATCCCATCTATTACACAACTAATTTGCTTAATGTCCATTTAGCGTGAACAGAAGCGTAATAAAAAAGTACATAAAATTAAAGCTGTTGAATATTCGATTTTAAAGTTCAATAAAAAATGTAAAAGACTTTCAAATTCTATCCAAAAAAATAAATAAGTAGATTAAGAGCGGACGAGTAGAAACCGTAACTAAGAAATGTATAATTTTCTCACCGAAACACCAGATTTCCCATTAAAATTCAAAACCATATTTGGTTCATCGTAAAAAAATAGATTTCTACCATCAATTTACATGTCATTAGGCAATTTCTAAACATTTTTATAAACATTTAAAGAAGTTAAATAAATTTTAAAAAAAATAAACACGTAATCGAAAATTAATGGAACTTGAAGACAACGATTAATTATCTGAATATGTAAGCTACAGAATTCAGGTAGTTTCAAACCAATTTAACTAAAGAAAAGACATTAATTTTCCTTTCCTTTTTTTTTGTTTTTAAATTTGTCTGGTGTCTACAGCCTAGACTGCGGGAAAATTCAAAATTGGCGGGAGATTCGCGGAACGGCCGCCTCCTCAGTTTTTTTCCCATTGTTTTTTTTTCTTTCGTTACGCAATTCGCGGCACGTCAGCGGCGCGTTCAGAGTTCCCCGTACCTCGAGACGTCCACCCCCGCCACGCTTACCGAATGAATAACTTGAGTAATTGTGGAATCGTTGCCATGACAACGAGAACAAAACAACGACGACGCGGAGACAAATAAATTATGCAAATCGACGCGGCTCATTTATATGTAAATGACAGATCGAGAAGGCTACCAACTATATAAGAAACATACATATGTCATATATATATAAAAAATATTTATGCGCGCAGAAGACAAATCTCTTGTTTATTCTTGCTTTATTGCTTGCTACCATATAATCAACTCATTAAGTATTAATTATTTTCAATTAATTTGATTTTTTTTTTGCCGTGTTACATAAAAAAAATAATTTACACGTGCATACGTAATTTGACGAGTTTTTTTTTGTTGGGGGATTTCGAAATGGAACTACTGTTTGCTTTTGCGTGTACCGTATAATGTGGACGTGATTAAAAAATTACAAAATTAACAACGAAAATTTTGACATTTCTCAAAATATTCAATTTATAAAAGAAAATTACGAAACTTATCAAAGAAATTCAACAAAAGTCCTAGTTCTTTGACACCTCTCAAATGACACAATTAAATTTGTTAAGTGAATTTAAGAAAGTACAAGATTATTACAGAAATGACTACAATATTAAGAATTGAAAAAATAAAAATGATTTTTTTTTAACCAGAATCAATGATAAATTTAAAATGATAAAATGTGACTAGTAAAATTATTTTTTAATAGACTTTTCACCAATAGATTTAATAGTACATTAATCAAGTAATAAAGAGATTTGTTGAAGATTCATTAAAGAAATTTACAAGTAATTAAATACGTATGAAACTAGTGGATTGAGTCATAATATTCATGATGATAAATTACCCATTCACGACAATACTCAATAACAAATTTTATTATTTTCAAAAGATTCCCATAAGAAAAAATATTGATTAAAATTCATCAATGAAATAGCTGTGAATAAATACATATTTTATTGTTTATTATTTTATGTAAAAAATCAACAATTTTATATGAAAATATAAGAAAATTTTGACTTAAAAACTAAAAGAAATCATTAAAACTATATATATTTTGTAATTTATTTTATAATTGTTATAAAAATAATATTTGTAAATGAAAATCTTGGAAATATGCAAATATTATTCTGTATGAATTTGCGACGTAGACTCGGATTTCAGAAAATATGCGCAACTGCAAATGCATAACAGTATCCCATATTATATATGTCAAAGTGTCGATGGTGTTTCTGAACGCACGCTTCTGAATATTCAGCAATAAAGCAAAGGAAGTGCTTATACGAGGAGAGACATAACTACACGTTTCATAAGAATAAAAAAGAAAACAAAGAATGATGTCACACCTAAGATTTCTTTCATTTCACATTGAAAATGTACAGAGATAGTTTTGATATAAGTTCACATTCATTGCAAAAGAAATATTCAAAGATTTAGTCTGATTTCTATAAGAAATATTTAATATAATTATTGGTTTTTAATTTAATTTTAAAGTCTATTTTTTTCATACATCTTCAATTCAATTTAAAGAAATATTTAGAGTACAAAATTGTGTGATTTTTCATCAATTTACAAGAAGATATTTAAATTATTCGAATCAACAATAATTTCACTTACTTAAGTGTATCGTATTACTACTTTGGTTAGCTTATTTTGTTGCTTATTAATAACTATTAAAGTTCATAAGAAAGGTCAATAATCAATGATTTTCATTATCAAACATTGAACATTAAAAAAGTTACAACTGTTGTTTCTACCTGTAATTAAGATTGTTTCTTACCTGTGAAAGGGTGGTGATCTGAACGGCATAGGGTATGAGAAAAATCAGTGAATCCTGAAACAAATTTGTAAATATGTAATTTGCGTTTAAGAATAGAAAAAGAAGTGTATATATAAAAAAAAAACAGTTCTGTGCCAGTCACCGCCTTCGATACGGGTCTTAAGAAAGTTGCATTGTGCTAAATTACTTTATGGATATGTAAATTAATCACACACAAACACAGTCTTAGGATCTGTGAGAAAAACTATTAACAGCTTCGGGTTTATAGTGTATAAAACGAGGATTAGAAATTGCCACAGTCGAAAGATCAATAAAAATACGTGGATTTTTTTTTTACAACCTAAGTGTATTTACTTTCGTCTGGAATAGAAACTGAAATTCACTCTGTACGATTAACATAAAAGTGACATAACCTCAGCAGGAAAATAATGAATTATTGTTACTTTACAAGATTGTCAAAAGAAAATGGACAAGGCCTGGACTATTGTGTTGACAAATGTGTCAATTATTGTTATTTTACACGATTGTCAAAAGAAAATTAACATAATCTAGACTATTACGTTGACAAATCTGTCAATTATTGTTACTTTACATAATCTGGACGATTGCACTGACAAATGTGTCAATTATTTTTATTTTACACGATTGTCAATAGAAAATGGACAATGTCTGGACTATTTTGTTGACAAATGTGTCAATTATTGTTATTTTACACGATTGTTAAAAGAAAATTAACATAATCTGGACTATTACGTTGACAAATGTGTCAATTATTGTTACTTTACACGATTGTCAAAAGAAAATTGACATAATCTGAACTATTTTGTTGACAAAAGTGTCAATTATTGTTACTTTACATGATTGTCAAAAAAAAAATGGACAATGCCTGGACTATTTTTTTGACAAATCTGTCAATTATTGTTACTTTACACGATTGTCAAAAGAAAATTGACAAGACCCGGACTACGTGTTACTTTACACGATTGTCAAAAGAAAATGGACAAAGCCCGGACTATTGTGTTGATAAATGTGTCAATTATTGTTACTTTACACGATTGTCAAAAGAAAATTGACATAATCTGGACTATTGCACTGACAAATGTGTCAATTATTGTTATTTTACAAGATTGTCAAAAGAAAATGGACAATGCCTGGACTATTTTGTTGACAAATCTGTCAATTATTGTTACTTTACACGATTATCAAAAGAAAATTGACATAATCTGAACTATTACGTTGACAAATGTGTCAATTATTGTGACTTTAGATGATTGTCAAAAGAAAATTGACAGTAACATCTTTGACAAATTGAAATTCTAATACGTCTTTCATGATAATTGAAATGAATTGATTATCGGTTTACAGGACTGTGAAAAGAAAATTGACATAAACTCAACAGAAATATCTTCTTGACAAATTAAAATATTGACAATTATTCTATAACATCTTTTCAAATTAATTCATTGTTACTTAAAACGATTGTCAAAATTGACATAACATCAAAATAATTATCTTGTTGATAAATTGAAATTGTAACACTTCTTTTATGACATCTTGGAAATAAGTGATTGTCCCTTTATACAACTGTCAAAAAAAATGACATAACCTCAACATTTAAAATAGTGGTAAAGCTACAATGACAATTTTTTGAAGTAATTGGTTGTCAGTTTTTGTTGACAGTTATATAATGTCAAAAAAAATGATATAACCTCAATACAAGAAAAATGGCGATGATTTCAGCTTCAGTAGTTTTATACACATAACATTTTTTTTAAAGATTTTTATTTAATACAGTTAAGTTATTATATATTAATAATTGCAAATTAATAATTCAATATATAAGAACATGACATAACATCAATAGAAAAAAAGGAGGCAAATCGTAACGCTTCTTTTATGACAACTTATTGAGTAGAAATCAACTAATACGTTGAAGATATAGAAGAAAATGTGTCTTCTCTCTTCTGGAATGAATTGATTACTATGCTCGTCGCACGTCCATATTCAAGTATGTACATATTGTTTCGATACGCAGAATACGTACTTATATTTAAATAACTGTTCCAATACTACACAATAAGTATAATAATAACGCTCGAATTCACTCATTCCTTCACCTTCCGTTCCCATCTAAATGAAAGCATTCTCGTCTCGTCTCCGTGCACATATTGATAATTGCCATCATAATCTTCTACGAAAGAATCAACGATAATAATGAAATAACAAAGAAAACGAAAATGACCGGACGTACTTTTCAACGTTTTATCATAAAATTTCTGGTGAAAAACACAATTTTTCGTGCTCACGCAATTTCCGATTAACTTTTCCGAAGCTGTAAAAAGACCTAAAAACTTCTCAGCTGCATAATAATCCGTTTGCTAAAAAAAACGAAACACATAAAACAGGTACAAGTAATAAGACCAGTTTTCAAATTGAAAATATAGAAGGAAAGCGGTCTATATAATCAATGCAACCGGTGTACATTTACGCACGTTTTTCGTACGTTTGCTTTTTTTGTATCTTTTACCAAAGGATTTAACATCGAAATGCTGACGTCGGTGGTGGCATTGTTTGTGTGTCGATACGGGATATTCCATTCTTGATGATGTTACAACGACCAACATTGTTGACGTGCACTGTTATTCAAGAAGCGTACTCGACTTAACACAACTTTAATAATAGTTTAACCTTCTTCCGTCTCCTCTCGCCGCCTTCGATCACTTCTTCTCCTCCTTCCTTCTGTATTCTTCTAAAACCACACTCGAAGTGTCTCCGTTTAAAATTTACTCGACACCATCTGAATAATAATAATCTATGTCCATCGTCGTAGGAAATTTCCTTTTTTCCATCCAACAAGAAATAAGCGACTAACTCACAAACTCTTCTCTTCCTTTCTTTTTTCTTTCTTTCAATAAAACGAACTGCAATTTAGAAATTTAAGTGTAATTTCGAAATAATTGCACCGGTATGCAAATCGGCATTAGCATAAAATATGGAATGCAATTTTACTATCTACTAAATTTATGATTTCGTTTTATGCCTTTGTCCGATAACTACAACTCCTTCAATGCTCATTAAATTCAATTTTTTACAATTACCAACAACAGTTTCTAAGGAGAATTTACATTAATAGAAAAAATAATAATTAAGCTTTGAAACAAGCAAAAAATTTAAAATTAATACCTTCCATATTTTACTTTTACTTTTCCTACTTTATCAATTTTGTATGAATTAAATCAGATTATTTTTGTATAAAATTTCAATTTAAAAAAAGTTGTTTTTAAAGCGTAAAAAGTAATATGTTTCATGCAACAAGATAAATGCTTTGTTTAAGAAATCCTTTAATTATAGACCGATCGAGAGTGTACTTTATAAGATCACGTAGGTTTCAGCAACCGGAAATAATTACTACCTTTGATGCAATTATAATTTTTTTTTATATATATATATATATATAAATATTTTGAAGGTCGATAGTAGCGAGTGCGTACAAAACACGTAATAACTATATACACAACAATGCGATTATTTACTGGAACAAAGACGATTTGTAAATATGTTGCAAAAGTCTCAAGACCACACGCAACACTCGCAAGGTTGATATCCTCGGCAAAGCGGAAACCTTTAAATGAGGAGTTGAAAATTACACTGTAATCACGGCGAAATATTGAACGTCATTTGTTTTACCATGATTCAATTGTCTTACATTTTTTTTAGGTTATCCAATTAGTAAGAATTGAAATTTAGAAAATATTAAAGTAAATAATTTGTGTTTACTAACATTCTAAAATTAAACCAAATTTAATAATTGTTACTTCATATGTATGGAATTTTACGTCATCTGTTGTAAAAAAACTACATTTTGTGTAATCTGCTACAACCTAACATTAACCTAATGGTTACGTTTACGTTACGTTACGATGTGCCATATCACCATACCTAACCTATAAAAATAATTAAAAAATAACCATTAAGCTATTTCAATTCAATTCAATTCAATTAACCTAACTTTCCTAACCTTACATTATTATAACTTTCTTAACTAATTCAATCCTAGCTCAAAATAGCTCAAGAGTCACCATTAACATAACCAAGCATATCATATACTAATAATATACCTAACATAACCATAAAGCAACACACTTTTTTTTGTAAATGAAAAGAAACCTTACAAAGACGCTAACCTATCTTAATCTAGTCTAAGTTTCTAACCTATCAATCGTAACTCAAAATATCTAAAACTTACCATTGACATAAGTTAAAGTAATATCATAAAGCTTCATCTATCCTAACGATAAAAATAACCTAATAATATTTTGTATATATAAGAAAACCTTGCGTAACCTAACTTAAAGTAGTCTAAGTTTCCTAACCTATTCAATCCTAAGATAAATTAACTAAAAGTAAGCTTTAACATAACCCAACATAAGTTAATGTAATATCATATAACCTCACTTAAGCTAACTATAAAGATAACCTAATCTTTTTATTGTTATGAGAGGAAATTTTGCATAGACGCTAACATAACCTAACTTAAACTATACTAAAACTATTCTAACTTTCCTACTTTATTCAATCCTATCTCAAAATAACTGAAAGTAACCATTCACATAACCTGATATAAGTTAAACTAATATCATCTAGCCTAATCGAATCATAAAGATAACTTAACCTTTTTCGTTAATGAGAATAAACCTTGTTACCTAATCTAATTTAAACTAGTCCTGAGTTATTCAATCTTAACTCAAAACAACTAAAAGTAACAATTAACATAACCTGGCACAAATTCAAGTAATATCATAGAGCCTAATCTAACCATAAAGATAACCTAACCTTTCTTTAATAAAAGAGAGATAATCTTACATAGACGCTAACCTAAACTAATTTAAAATACTTAACTATCCTAAACTATTAAATCTTAAGTCAAAACATTGGCATAACCTAACATAAGTTGAACTAATTTCATATAACCTCACCTAACCTAACCATAAATACTAAAAATAACTAAAAGTAATCAGCCTAATCGAATCATAAATATAACCTAACCTTT